ATATCTAGTAACCTCTCGAGACTTCATGAACCTTCGAGAATATGACTTGTTACTAGCGTCACGTGACCCCTGCTGTCGTAACAATATATTAATCAGGTTAATATTATTTACTACTTATTTCAAAGTGATTATAAAAACGAATAAAGGACCCATAAGTTCAAAACGCTTTCCAAAAGTGTTCTGTTTTTTATCAGACGCCAAAAAGGTTTTGATCCAGATGGAGAAGAGATCCCTCTTCGAAAGTGCTCGAGCTTTTGAGTCGTTTTTTAGCCACCTCACAATCATTTTTAATTTGATGTGCTTAAAACACCAATAATTATACGTTTTGCAATTGTTTTCTTGTTGTATTAATATGTCTTTTATATCGTGCTATACGTAAAGTTGAGAGAGTTGAATACGATTTATTAAAATGATTTTAATATTCAAAGCACCAACTCACGTGATAACTACAGCCTATATAAAGTCGCTATGGAACAGCATATAACAGAAATACATTTTGAAATTACATTGGCGTTCGTAAATAGTATGATGTCACCGAAAATTGATCATTTTTGGGAAGAGTATGTAACAGTCCTTTCCAATGCAAAATATCCATACACTCAAATCATAAATATGTCTTCAGATCGAGGATCTAGAACTTTAAAATATTAGATATCCTTCGTACTTAATGGCATTGGAAAGCAAAGGACAACAGTGCCATCCAGAAAGAGACCTGCAAAAAGTCGTACCCCAAGCCGTAGTAAGCAAAGTGCGGCGTCTAGTAACAGGTGAGAATCCACGAACACATAATGTCAGTGATAAAATCCGTTAACGTGCCCCAGGCAACAGTGTGCAACATAATAAAGAAACATCTACGTCTAGAAAAGCGACACAAGTCATGTCTAGACAAGTTCCTTCCACATCGTATCTCATCAACTGTCGCATCCCTCAAGCAGCCGAAGAATGATACGGATATTCATGCTATTCCATACAGATTCATAAACCGGTCAAGTCGCCCGACGAAATACCCATGGATTTCTTTGCGATCTGTCTGTTGAACGCACGTCATTGCACTAGATAAATAATAGAAATAAAGCAGGAAAGAGTTGTGTGCGTTGGACATGGCAGCATTGTGAGGGAGTCTAACTCCCAATAGCTCAGCGGTAAGTCTCAAGGCTTATAACAGTAAAACTAAAGCCACAGAACACGCCGATACGATTAGAAAAACCACAGTCACTGAGCATAAGTATTGGTTTGGAGAACTACAACTCACGTGACACTCAGTGTAAACCACTGAGCCCATTGATTGGTTAGACAAATTACATTAATTTAACACGTCAATCTAGTTAAAATAACTACAACAAGTAAACTTATCGAGAAGTTTAGAATATTTTATTTATATTCAACATACGTATTGTTGTCAATTTAACTTTTGATTTTGAGAAAGAAGTATTTTAGTTTGCCCTAAAAATTACATCCTGTCACACATGGATATTAGAAAATATCCAGACGATTTTACTTGATTAGTATTTTTTAGACATTCCAAATTTTCACATCCAATAATCTTTACTCTTCAGAACTGGAAATATTTCCTTGTTTTTGTCTGAACATGAAACTATGAAATGGTGTTTATTGTGAGAACAATAAGCAAAATTGAAAATAATTATTTTGCTATAAAAGAAATTATATAAAACATTTTAATAAACAAATCCGTGTGATGAAGAGGGTAACGCAGTGAAATCACAATAAAGTGATACTAGTGTGTGAACAGAGATAATAAACGATAAATTTAATTTTTAAAGAGAGTAGCGATCAATAAAAATATTTTATGTTATAAAAATTCAAGAATCATCTTTTCAAGACCAATTGCTCTATGTGAATGGAAACAAACAAATCTAAACTCGCCTTCGAAATTATCCTTTATATTAAATATATTTATAATCTTTTGATGCGGGGGTTGGGTAATGAATCATGAAATATACTTTTTAAATAACAAATTCACCCCAACATAATATTTTTACTGTATTTTACTGAGAAAAAAAAACATCTTTCATTTATAGATGTTAAACTAAAGATGTGTACACACACACACATGTATATATAAACTAGAAAAATTCAGCACAAACTGCAGGGAAGAAAAATATCTCGTTTTGAAACCTGGATAGTTTAAAAGCCTAACTTAAAACAACAACCAAGTTTGTATCTTTTAAGTTGGCTCTATAAGTTGGAACTGAGTGGGCACACCTGGTAGAATATACCACCTCTCTTGTTGTAAAGTAGTTTTACTAAATTGAGATTTTGGAATCTAACCTTTCTGTCTTTTACGTTCAATTGGATTTATGTCAGGGTCTCTAGGATGACCACGTTCAAGATGTCATCTGTATGAAACCACTGATGAATAGAATGTGTGGTAAGATATAGTGCAATATAATACTTCAAAAGATATGATCTTTCCTCATAGTGAAACATTGTCTAGAAGGTCACAGTATGTAACATGATTCAGGATTTCCCTTACTATTAACAGTGAATCAAGCCAAAGTCAGATAAACCAGGCCCACAGTATGACATTTGAAGTTAAAATCGACTTCCTGAAAGGTCTACTATATAACGGGAGGTTCGACAAGATATATTGCAAAGTAGTTATAAGTTTCCCTGAACTGACTAAGTTTGCACAAAGAAATAAGTAGATTGGACACGATGTGTAATACACAACGAAATAATTTTTATTTTCACAACACAAAGCAACAGTGTATGCAGTCTACCTTTTTGGAAAAGGGACAGTCTCCTTCATCAGATAAGTGGATTGATTAGGCTGGTTATACTCCCTCTAGATTTAATTTCAAACTGAACATCTCATTCAATATGATGTTTCAGAATGACTAAATTCTACATTACGTATATTAATCGGTAATTTCAGACTTATCCAGAGCGACTAGTGCTACCCACATAAGTGGTCATTCACGTTCAAATGTAAGAGAGTTTGTAACCACGAGTCATCACATACCATTGGAGGACACTGCTATTGACCTTTATGCATAATATGTTGTTTTAAAACCAAACTACCAGGGATTATATTCAAGGAACGACTGAAAACAAATGCAGCTAGAACGAAATCAACTTAACTACTTTCTCGACCACTTGCTATGTGAAAACCACACGTGTTTAGAATAAGCGAAAATTTCGCATGCGAAATAAGAAATTAGAAAATGCATAATATACCTGCTTACCACAACACTATTGCCAACACTCTTCACTAAGAATGACACAGTTATATCAACAGCATTCTACAGTTCCCCCCAGACATCCAAAACAAATAATGACTCATAGTTTTAATTGTTTCTCACCTCATTTGTAGTACTCAAGGGTCCATGAGATCAGTGGTATATAAAGGCCACATCCCAATTCTACTAATGTTATGTAAGTAAAATAATACGTTAAAGTGTAACATAAATAAAATAAAACCACGCTTATGATTGTTTCATGTAATATATTACAGCAAGGGGGTATAGGGGGAGGCTCTTTCACAGTTGGGCCTTTTACGATTTCCAACTGCGATTTCCATACAAGCCCATGGGTCCCAAAAGGGTCAATTTTGTATATCTTACAAGTGAGTCTATACGAGTTGGGACTAAGTATCATCAGATGGGCCTCTCATCAAAGATTATTTTATATATCTCACAAGTGAACCTTTCATGAATTGGGTTGAATAGGCCCCAGGGGCAGATGTTTGATGTGGTTCAGGATGGTGCCATGAGTTTTCTATTCCCCAGCTGTTTGATGTGGTACAGAATGATGCCATGAGTTTTCTATTCCCCAGCTGTTTGATGTGGTACAGAATGATGCCATGAGTTTTCTATTCCCCAGCTGTTTGCGGTGGTACAGAATGATGCCATGAGTTTTCTATTCCCCAGCTGTTTGATGTGGTCCAGGATGGTGCCATGAGTTTTCTATTCCCCAGTTGTTTGATGTGGTACAGAATGATGCCATGAGTTTTCTATTCCCCAGCTGTTTGCTGTGGTACAGAATGATGCCATGAGTTTTCTATTCCCCAGTTGTTTGATGTGGTACAAAATGATGCCAT